GGTATTCTGTGAGAGCGTGGTCCTTCCCCGGTCGAGCCGACCCATTCGTGCTACAACTATACTACTAATATAGCTGCAGCATGGCTCTACCTTGTAAATCTTATCCAATTGATTGAAAATCAAGAAAATATTGGATGCGGCTTTTCATTTTCTTATTTAATTTTTTCTTATTCTGCTATTATCAATGCCTATATAACATATAACAAAACTCAAGTAGTCACTACTTATTCCCATAGAAACTTTAGGTTAAAATTAGCAAGAGGATGAATAGAAAATTACCCACAAAAGAAAAACCGACCAAAAGTATCTATAAATAAAAAAGGAGGATGTTATGAGGTACCGGAAGAAATACGTCTTCTTAACGTTGGTAGTATACATTTACCTGACGAAGGCGAAACTTTCAAGAGGTGCAGATTTTGCAGCACGAAACAGCAACAAAAGAGATCTAAAATAATTTGTACGATGTGCAAAGTGACCCTGTGTGCGAATCCTTATTTCAGACTTTTTCATACCGTGGAAAACCCACAGTCAGAATAATACGTTTCTACTTGTCTTATGTATATAAGTTCTTTCTTTATAAAAGTGATTGATCTATAACTATTTACCCATGTATTACTTTATTCATGTAACCTTCTAACATTTATTAAACCCCTATATTGTTATACGCAATAAACCGCGGCAAACGTTAATTATTTTTATACTACTGAAAGTAAAGCAGAAGGAAATAACTAGTCTAGATAAAATAAAAATCTCAATGGACAATGGTAACTATTTGACCACTTGTACAATTTCTAAACGGATAATGGTTATATCCACTTAGAAAGTAATAGTTAAGTTTAAGAAAGTTTAGAAAGTAGTTTCACGTGGTAGAGCCATGCTGCAGCTATATTAGTAGTATAGTTGTAGCACGAACGGGTCGGCTCGACCGGGGAAGGACCACGCTCTCACAGAAAACCAGCGTAAAATAGCAGCTTAACGCTGCTGTGTTTCGTATGGTGAGTGTAGAGAACCGGAGACCATTTTTATGTATTCGATGTAGATGTCTATGGGTCACAGTAACCACTTACCATCAGGTGGACTGTGTGCTCATTTGTCACCCTATCCTATAAAAAAAACATAAAAACAGTTTACCCCCTCTTTTTAGTTTTTAAGAAAGAAAATGAAATCTGCAACCCTTTTTTACCTAGAATCTAGTTTTTTTTTCATAAATCATACTATTCCCGTTTGTTTAAGGGTTAAAGTTCTACTTCCAACAACATGACTCTTCTCAATTAACACCTTTCCAACATTACATTAGACAAAAAATTAAGGTCTGGTCTGTTTACACTGACCTCCCATTTGGTACATATTTTGAGGTTAGATTTTTGAGTTAGTTGAGTCGCTCGCGTCCGTAGGCTTCGACCACCTAATCCTAGGCCCACCCTACACGTGTCCCCCGGGTGGTGCTAAACGAGCGACAAAGCCGAAACGACAGACTCGGCTCCTCGCCGTATGGTAGCGGCGTAAAATCTACCACCCCCTTAGTTCGCACCATGAGCCTAGTAGAAAAAGAAATGGCCCCGAGTTCCCGGCGCCCCTTTAATGGGGCAGGGGTGCGAAGAATCTCCGGGAGAAAAACCGGCGACGAGGTTCGCCACCCGTCACGTCCTGTCTCCCGGAGGGGCGAAAAGTGGATTGCGGAGGCCCGTCTGGCTACGCTGAATGTATGTGGAGCAATGAATGATAAGATGGATGAAGTATGCGAAATGATGAATGATAGAGGAATAGATGTGTTATGTGTAAACGAGACGAAACGAAAGGGAAGAGATGTCACTGCACATGGCATGTATACCGCTTACTGGTCTGGAGTAGACGAGACCGAGCGGGCATGCCAGGGAGTCGGTGTCATCCTTTCAGAAAGAATGGGTCAATGTGTGAAAGAGTATGAATGTGTTAGCCCAAGGCTGCTGTGGATACGAATGAAAGTGGGCTTAAAGAAGTTGTTTGTGCTAGGGGTGTACGCCCCAGATATGTCTAAGCCCACTTATATCCGAGAGCAGTTTTGGGACATGGTAAGGCTGGTGTTGATGAAATGTAAGGAAAATGAAAATATTATTATGTTAGGAGATTTTAATGGAAGGGTGGGGGTGAAGAGGTCTGGTTATGAAAGGATATTAGGAACGTTTGGCGATGAAAGAATAAATGAGAATGGTGAAGACCTCCTCACCGTATGTGTGGAAAAGAATCTTTTTGTGGCGAACACTTTCTTTCGCCATAAGAGGATTCACATGTATACATGGGAAAGAGGGGATGATAGAAGCATGATAGATTTTATAATTGTGGATGAAAGAATGAGGAGCGCAGTGGTAGATACAAGGGTTTACCGGGGGTCCAACGTAGGGACGGATCATTACTTGGTCTTATGCCGAATTAATGGTCTATTCAGACGTTGGCGGCATCGGACATCGGTGTCTACCACTGCGTTACAGCGTATAAGAATAGAGAGGTTACAAGATGAAGGTGTGAAAGAGAAGTATAAATGCAGACTGAGGGAAAATATAAGTGGGTTGAATGAATTATGTATGAATGATTTAGAATTGAAGAATGTATGGAATAATATTAAGAGAGTTCTGGTGGATGCAGCCACCGAAGTATGCGGTGTAAGTAAGAGAACAAATGAAAGGAAAAGTAATACGTTGTGGTGGGATGATGAGGTACGGATGGAAGTTGAAGCAAAGAAGAGAGCATGGCTAGATTTACTAGCAACTAAAGTTGGTAATTCTGGCGGTATGAATGATGAGATTGAAAGAAAAAAGGCAAACTTTAGACGTATAAATAAGAGAGTAAAAGAAGTTGTTGAAAGGAAAAAGCAAGAAAGGATAGATAAAAATGATAGAAGGATATCTGATAACTTCCAGGAAAATATTAAAATGTTCTGGAAGCTCGTAAGAACTGCCAGGGGAATTTCAAAACAGCCTAGAATTAATGCTATACGAGACGAGAATGGCTGCATGCTGAATGATGAAGTTTCGAATTTAAAGAGATGGAAGGAATACTTTGAAAGCGAGTTTAAGAGTGAAGAGTCGTCTGAAATAAGTGAAATAGAAATTCCGGAAGAAGTGGAGAGAGGTAGGGAGATAAGTGTAGATGAAATAATGAAAGCAATGAAAAGCATGAAAGCAGGTAAGGCAGCCGGATATGATAGAGTATCACTCGAAATGCTAAGGGCTGGTGAGGGTGTGGTTGCAGGCCTGCTGCACACCTTGTTTAATTTATGTTGGGAACTGAAACGGGTACCGGAAGACTGGTGCAAAGCCGTTATAGTCCCAATATATAAGGGAAAGGGGTCGCAGCAGGACTGTAAAAACTACCGTGGTATCAGCTTGCTTAGCATTGTGGGTAAACTGTATGCTAAGGTGTTAATTGAAAGAGTTATGGAAGAAACTGATGGAAAAATTTGGGATGTGCAAGCTGGATTTAGAAAGGGGATGGGGTGTACGGATCAAGTCTTTTCCATGCGCATGATAGCGGAGAAGTTTTTGGCTAAAAACCAGAAAGTTTTTTGTGCGTTCTTGGACTTGGAAAAGGCTTATGACAGAGTGGACAGGAACGTGTTATGGCAAACACTGAACTCATTTGGGTTGAGCGCTGGCTTGATACAGGCATTAAGGTCTCTTTATAGGGACTCTAGTGCTTGTGTCAGGATCAACGGGGTCTACTCGGACTGGTTTGGCATTCATAAAGGTGTCAGACAGGGATGTGTGGCTTCCCCGTGGCTGTTTAACCTATTTATGGACAGTTGTTTGCAAACTTTGAAAGTTGAAGAATGTGGGTTGAGAATGGGTGAGTCAACCGTCAAATGCCTTTTGTACGCCGATGATCAAGTCATATTTGCATCGTCGGCGGCCGAGTTGCAAATGATGGTTACTTTAATGAATTGTTCATTGAAAGAAAGGGGTATGAAAGTGAACGCAAGTAAGACGAAAGTGATGGTTTTTGAAAGAGAAGAAAGTAAAACTTTATGTAAAATAAGAATAGAAGGGGAGTTGATTGAGCAAGTGGATGAGTTTGTATATTTGGGATGTTTATTTAGCAGGGATGGTAGATATGATAAGGATATAGAACGACGAGTGAACGCAGGAAATAGAGTGAATGGGGCTCTACACGCTATTGTGAGGAGTCAGAATGTGTCAACTAAGGCACGTATGGCAATTCATAATGCTGTGTTAGTACCCACTTTAATGTATGGTAGTGAAAGTTGGGTCTGGCAGAAGAAGCATGAGAGTAGAATAAATGCTGTAGAAATGCGTTCCTTAAGGAGTATGCTAGGGCTGAATCTGAATGACAGGGTGAGAAATAGTGTAATAAGAGAAAAGTGTGGTTTGCAAGATGACGTTGTGACAAGGATTAAGAAAGGAATGCTTCGGTGGTTTGGTCACGTAGAAAGAATGAACGAGGAAAGAGTGACAAAGCAAATTTATGTTGCAGAAGTGAACGGCAGGGTCGGGAAGGGACGCCCTAGACGAAGGTTTATCGACCAGATCGGCGATACATTGAAAATGGGCCAGATTAGGAGTACCCTTAACCGACGAGCGTGTATGCGTAGATATATGGATGTGAAAGAGGCGAGAGAGGTGTGTCAGGATCGCGCTAAATGGAAGTCCGTAGTCTCTGCCTACCCCTCTGGGTGACAGGCGTGAGTGTTTATGTATGTATGTATATGTATTTTGCTTGGTTGTTTCTTTGGTTTCTGAATTAGCTTCTTCAGAATAAATGCAATTTCAATTAGCACATAAGGCATGGAAAGGTTTTTCTACTCGTTCTATAGTTACATAAGAAATTCATAACAAATGGGTTTTTTATCCGGGACACATATATTTATATAGAACATGTTAAATAATATTATACATATTGTACCAGACATCTCATGAAATACATTTTACTCCAGTGTGTATTTTTAAATGATTTTGCACTCGATATTTTGTTTTTCATCTAAATTCATAGATATGACACAAAAAAGTTTATCTGGTGTGTATTTTTTTCATATGCTTTTGCAAATTACATTTTGTAATACATTTATAATCACAATTATTACACGAAAAAGGTTTTTCTCCAGTGTGTATTTTTATATGTGATTGCAAACGACTTTTTTTAATACATTTATATTCACAGATATGACACGATAAAGGTTTTTCTCCGGTGTGTGTTTTTATATGCATTTGCAAATCACTTTTTGTAATACATCTATAGTCACAGATATGACACGAATGAGGTTTTTCTCCGGTATGTATTTTCATATGCCTTTGCAAATCACTTTTTGTAATACATCTATATTGACAGATATGACACGAATAAGGTTTTTCTCCGGTATGTATTTTCATATGCTTTTGCAATTTACTTTTTTCAATAAATCTATATTCACAGATATGACAAGAAAACGGTTTTTCTCCAGTATGCATTTTCATATGCCTTTGCAAAATACTATTTGTAATACATTTATATTCACAGATATTACACGAAAAAGGTTTTTCTCCGGTGTGTATTTTTATATGATCTTTCAAATTAGCTTTTTTTATACATCTATATTCACAGATATTACACGAAAAAGGTTTTTCTCCGGTGTGTGTTTTCATATGCTTTTGCAATTCATATTTTGTAATACATTTATAATCACAATTATTACACGAAAAAGGTTTTTCTCCAGTGTGTTTTATCATATGCCTCTGAAAGTTTCTTTTATCTGTACATATATAATCACAATTATTACAACAGTACACTTGTTTAGCAACATGCTTTTGTTTCAAATTTTTCTTTTTCATAATATTTGCAGGACGCTTTCCTTTTTTATTAATTGGTTGATTATCTTTTTTCACTTTAGAGTTTGATGTAGGGCCTTCAAAATTGAGGTTTTCTTCACATACTACGTTTATGTCACTATCAGTGGAATTTGATTTAATCTTCGTCTCAGACGATTCTGAAAAATTATTTGTCGGTGTGAATTACTGTTCTGAAATACGCATTAAGCACTGGTATTGCACCCCTAACTAACTTGCGCAGTCCACTCCACCTTTGTTTTTCAAAAATGTACGAAGTACTAAAATGGGTGAAAAAAATAAATTCCTAAAGTTAGGCTCCCAGTTTTAGGATAACAACAGCCAACAAACAAATTTTACAAATAATATTAGAAAATACAGTCAACAACAGTTATTCACTAACTATATTTCATAAGGATATGTGTTACTAAAACATTTACGCCAAACTATAATTTGCATTAGAGCTCTCTTACAAAATATACATTAAAAATATTTTGGGGTGTTCAAATAGTTTTCTCATCTGGTTGGGCTGTATAAATAGATAAATGAAAATGATAAATTTAAATAAAATTTAATATAACAAAAATTAATGTCATACTTTTTATTGTACCCACTAATTTATTTGACAATTCACAAATACAAAAGAAAAATATTGTAACTGTATTTACCATTATTATGTACCTATTAAAAAAAATTCAAGAGTTTTATTTACAATCTGGGCGTCTTCAAGGCAAGAGTGATAGGCTTTTGTTACGCTAAGACAGTGCGATTTACCATCTAAGGCTGCATCACCACTTACCACCAGGTGGGATTGTGGTCAAGCACTGGCTTATAATAAGTAAAAAAAAGGCACTTTCCTGATAACAGCAAAAAAAAAAACAATAAAAAACTGCGGTTACCAACCCAATAGCCAAGCGTGGCAACTATGGCAGTATACCCCCCATAAGCAACTACACATATAAATGGCCCCCAGTACTCGGCAGCCCCGCTAGTCCTGGCTACGGTGGCGACCATTGTTACAGCGGGGCAGGGGGTGCTAAGAATCTCCGGTGGGGGTTCGGTTACCATCCAAGTCGACTCGACCTGACAACTTATAACGCACGCACCCTGAGGACTGACGAGAAGATCTTGGAGCTGGAAGAAGAGATAGACAAGTTGCGCTGGGATATTATAGAATTATCTGAGGGCAGCAGAGGGGGAGGATATGGTAATCCTCGAATCCGGCAACTAGTTCTATCACTATAAGGGCGACCATCTGTCCCAAGGAGGTGTTGGATTTATAGTGCACAAGTCACTTGTTGACAACTTTGTAAAAATTTGGAGTGTGTCGACGAGGGTTGCATACCTTATACTAAGAATCACCAAACGGTATTTGCGGAAGGATCAACCTCGGCACATCCCGATGAGAGGGTGGAGGAAATGTATGAGGATATCTCTAGAGCCATGCATTCTTCCAAAAGTCACTATACGGTGTCAATGGGAGACTTCAATGCAAAACTAGGCAAAAGAGAGAAGCCTAAGCTAAGCCAAGCTGGTGGAAACTGTCCATGCGGTCAGAGCTAATTTCTGCAAGACCCGTCGCAGAAATGCACAAAAACTCTCTGATCTCATAGCTGTTAGACAGAAAATGAAGCTGCAGTCTTCAGCAGATTTAACAACATACATGCAACTGAAGAGACAGATCTAAAAACGCATGCGGCGGGACTTACGCAACTTTAATACAGCTCATATTAAAGAAGCGATCGAGTGGAATCAGAGCTCCAGTCTTTGCCAGAGATCTGTCTGCCAGAAAGATCCAACTTTCGAAACTGAAGACCGAATGTGGCAGCAACGTTTCTATGAGCAGCTGTACACGTCATCGTTGGAGCCACACGCAAGTTGAGTAACGATCCAACAGCAAGTCTTATCAGACACTATTCCGATGATATTCTGGACTTCAGTCTGAGCGAGATTATAATGGCTCTCCAGCACCTTAAGACTGGCAAGTCCCCGGGTGAGGATGGAATTACAGCGGAATTTCTGAAAGCGGGTGGAAAACCAGTACTTGAACTACATTGCACATAAAGCCCTATTTTTTTGTGTCCATGGGCTGCAGTAACAACTTGCCATTAGGTAAATTGTACCTTGTTTTAATAATATCACAAAATGTGTATATCTTACCTGTTTCATGATTCCCATGTTCTTCAAATTTGAAATTCTCATTTTCGAAATTACCTGCCTCAACTTTAATAGAATCAAGACTAAAAATTTCTTCCTTACAATGATTTACTATATCACACTCTTCTGGTCTGATATCTATATGACAAATTGGTGTGAATTGAATCTCATCATGTGGTTTTGTTATTGACTAAAACCAAATTATTTTTTTAAATAAGAGAAAAAAGTCAGTGTAGTGGTGGAGTAGGAGAATCCATACTACCACAAACCATCTCGCAGATGTCGTAAAAAGAGACAGAGGCAAACTGAAACAGGAGATGGGCAGCAGCATCTTCCTGACAACAACTCCAAATAATAATAAAAACTGGACAAAAGTGAGGGTTCTGAATAAACTCAAATAAGAATGTAGATAGTTTATCCATCCAGAGAATTGAGTCTCAACAATTTTTCGAATCAGATTCACAAATGCTGTAAAATGACAAAGATCTATTTTTGTTTACTAAGTAATATTACATATAGATAATATTTTGTTTATATACAATAGGGTAATATATAAGAGTATAAAGAGTTAGATAATTATTTTTGTAATAATAAGTACTTTACATACTAAAAAATACTAACTGCTATAACAAAAAAGTAAGTTGGATTGAAGAACAAACTTAACTTTGCAGTAGAAAAATCATTCTCCCATATGGCAACGGGAAGCAATATACAAGGCGCCAGACAGGTAGTGTTCATCAAGATGCCTGCCAAGTGATGATTAAGGCAAATACTTCATTCCAATATCCACTACCCTATAAACCCACCCACAGGAGGGGTGTAACAGTAATTGGGCAGCAGCATCTTCCTGATAATAACTCAGGCTAATATAAACTGGTTGCCAACCTGCCAATCATGGCAAATTTGGCAGAATCCCTCCTAAGAAGCAATCTATGAGGGCGGCCTATGTTCAGCAGTAGATTGTTATAGGTTTTAATGGATGGAATGGATAATACCATGGACCCTCCTGCAAGCAACTGCTCCAGAACTGCATTTGCCTCAATAGCCTGTTGTTGTAATCTTCTACAACGAATGAGTCTTGCATGACAGGTGAAACACACAATTATGGGCCCCTCATCGTCATCCATCTGAAAATATGAAAGTTCACAAATCTCTTAATCAACATGAGTTTTTTATAACATTGACGTGACAAATAAACTTACAATCCATCTGATGGTAAGTGGCTACAGCAGCCCATGGGCACCTGCAACCAACTTCAAGCAAAGGCTACAGATGGGATGTTACTTCCGAGGGCTAAGATGTAATGTATCATAGCCTATTATTATACTGCTGCTTGTTGCCAGAAGTAGGTAAGAGGATGATATCTACCCAGACAGACTTCTGGAGAGAAAAAAATGCTATCACCTACCACCCAGTGAATCATCATCACTTTTTTTTTTTATAGGAGAGGGGGCAAACGAGCTAGTGGCTCACCTGATGGTAAGTGACTACCGCCGCCCATGAACAACCGCAACACCAGGCGAATTGCAGATGCGTTGCCGGCCTTTTAGAAAGGAGTAGGCTCTTTTCTTGAAGGTCCCTAAGTCGTATCGGTCCGGAAAAATCGCTGGTGGTAAACTATTCCATAAGGAAGTTGTGCGAGGAAGAAAACATCTTCTAACTCGCACAGTGGTGGACCGCCAATCATCCAGATGGTGTGGATGGTATCGGGAGTTGTGCCGTGATGTGCGTTCGTGAAATTTGGCGGCTGGGATTAATCCGAAAAATTCCTCAGAGCACTCCCCATGGTAAATGCGAAAGAAAATGCTAAGAGATGCAACATCTCTTCGCAGTGCCAATGAGTCGAGCCGATCGGAAAGGACTCGGTTGTCGACGATTCGAGCCGCTCTGCGCTAGATGCGGTCAAGTGGAAGGAGCTGGCACTGGGGATCCCCAGCCCAGAGATGGGAACAGTATTCCATGTGAGGCCGAACCTGCGCCTTGTAAAGTTGCAGGCGTTGAGCCGGCATGAAATACTGTCCCGCTCTGCTGAGCACGCCAAGCTTTTTAGAGGCCAATTTGGCCTTCTCTTCCAAGTGACCACGAAACTGCACGTTACTCAATATGTCTACGCCGAGGATTCCGATACTGGCTGAGGCAACAAGGGGAGTACCTCGAAACTGAGGAGATACGACAAAGGGGTTCTTTTTAGCGGTAAACGTGCAAACTTGTGTCTTCTGAGGATTAAACTGGACTAGATTTAGTCGCCCCCAATCCGAGACTTTGTCCAGCAAAGACTCGACTTCAGACACAAGTTTGTTCCGGTACTCGGTGACGTTTAACCAAGAAATATTGGCACGGCCGGTGTATAGAGCATCACCAGTGCTGTCATCCGCATAGCAATGAAATGAAAATAGTCAAGTATGTAGCAGTCTCTGTGAGACTGCTACATACATTAACAGGTATAATTTTAACAGCAGTAGCTCAGACTCATGGGACCCTGACAGATGTATTATCAAGTTTGGAATTTCCAAATTCAATCCTTACAAACCTACTTTAAAAATTTAACTTCAAGCTACTAGCAACACTATTAACATTATTACAAATAAATATCTTATTTGCTCTAAGTTAATTGAAAAGGCTTGTGGTAGGAGGAATTTACAACAAAAAACAGCAACATTAAGCTGTCATATTGCACTAGTATTTTGTGAGTGTGGTGCCACCCCGGTCGAGCCAACCCATCTGTAAACAATCATAATATAGCTGCAGCTTGGCTCAACCACATATAAAATAATGATAATAATGTCTTACAGACAGAATTTCAGTCACAATGGAAACCTCATTAGTGCAGTACAGGATTAAATAATTTAATTCTGTCAGTGTGCAAACATTAAATGTGTGGAAGCAAGCACAAGTGCACACAATTCTCTCCTTTGATTTCTGTCTGATAGGAATATGAGGGTGAGGGAATTTCTGTGTCTGGAAGCACTTGTACACTGCATTCTCCCTCGTTAATAGTCCTATAGAACGGCTTAAAATGGGTGAAATACCAAACCTAGATGTTAGTTTCTTGATAGAAAATCACAATAATACTCATTGAAGTAAAATGTACTACAACAGACAACGCGAACAAAATCTATGCAACAGTGCGGGTCGTGTGGATGTAGGCACAGGGTAATTTTTATGGCACAGACTCAGTAATTTTGAGCCCGCGGGCTCTAACACTTGTTGCAAACAAGTCTCGGCGTCTCTTCTAGTATGTAACACTAACATATTACTTCAATGATAATATTGGTTTTAATGCTACCTAGGATACCAGGCTTATTATTGTTTTTCAGATGCTGTGCCATAAAAAGGTACCCTATGTTCACTATATTTAACGCTGCACTTTAGCCTAGCCCTGATCTATCGCACTGTATATCAGGCAGGTTATAATATATTTCTCCAGCGATAACAACAAATTACCGACTCACACTTTAATTCGCAATATAAGAAATAAGCAAACTTACAAATCTGTTCGTCAATGTTTTATATAAATTTTGGAGGTGAGTCTTTTTTAGAACAAACATGCGTACATTAACGCTTAAACAAATTCTACAAATTTCACTAAAGGCCATTTTTGTTTCCTACAGCTTTAATATAATTGAATTCTCTTTTTAGTCTTTTTCTTCAATAAACCGCAGTTTTCAAAAATAGTTAGCTTCGTCCATAGATAAATATATATGTAGCAACACAGATAACTGTATACTAGTGTAGCAAGGCCATAGATAGAGGATTGACGTCTATGAGCAAGGCTTCGTCCTGCTTTTTTGTAGTATATGGCCTGGTATCTAGACCTTTAGGCCAAGTCGTGGCTTAGCTTTCCATTGACGTCAGTCGAGTTTGGTGTTGATACGTATTTTTATAGAAAAGTTACACTATTATAAGCACACACACAAAGTTTCAACATGCGGAAACGTTATTTTTGAGAAAAGAATTATTGAAAATCAATTATTCTTGCAATGTTTATGTCTAATCCTATCATAAAACTGGCGCCATTTTGTAATGTCATTGTCGACGTCAATAGGGATGTCTATTCTTTCCGAAAAAGGTCGATTTTTAAATCGATTCAAATCGTAAGCTGATGGATCGGTTCACAAAAAATCAATTTCTAAAATATCTATATTTTTTTAATGTTTCTATTTATAATGTAAATATAAACCCATTTTATGAAAAACAAGAAAGATACCATGATAAATGATCTCTTATTGAAATTTGTTTTATTTAACAGTACCTATTAGGGCAGATAACAAATAAAATAGGTTAGGTTCAACTTATGTCAAAGAACCGAATTGATTGACCTCGACTCCACCTGGTACGAGTCTGTCCTACCCCTAGAGTGGTTTTATAGAGCCGGAGGCGCGTAGGGGGAGCAGCCTCCGTCTGCTGTAACAAATCGTAGGCATCGGAGCGGCTGAGGCTGGTCACCCAAGGCGACCAACAAGCCGAAGCTGCGGAGGCGAGGAGAGATGCCTGCGATTTGTTACGCTAAGGCGTAGAGGCTACTCTTCCCGCAACGCCGGAGACGTAGCAGTCTCAAAATAGATACAGAAATACTTCTGAATCAGTCCCCTTATTTTTTTATGATGAAGGGGATTTTTTTTCTCATAAAATGGATTTATATTTACATTATAAATGCAAACATGAAAAAAATATCGATATTTTAGAAATCGATTTTTTGGGAATCGATACATCAGCTTCCAATTCGAATCTATTTAAAAAATCGATCTTTTTCGGAAAGAATCGACATCCCTACTGACAATAATAATAAAAATGGCGTCAGTTTCACGGTAGGAATTGACTAAATATTGCAAAATTATTTGATTTACAATATTTTTTTCTCAATAAGTACGTGTTTCCGCATATTGAAACTTTGTGTGTGTGCTTATAAAAATGTAATCTTTCTGTAAAAATACGTATCAACACCAAACTCGACTGACGTCAATGGAAAGTCTTTCCCAAGTCTTGAGTATTTTTATTCGATTTATTATAATTTCCTCAAATGTATAATTATCCTTCATAGTTCACTGCTTCACAATATGTTGATGCGTCACATTGTGCAGCCCTTGGGAGATTTTGACGGCAACTTGAGCCAGCAGACAGCTGACAGTTGACGATGGTATCTCAAGGCGCTTATGCAGACAAACAGCTTATCTTAAGAATCACATCACCATCAGAGCACTTGTTTAACCGTTTCCACTAATAGTTCACATGCGTAGACAGTTAATACATAAAATCACACTACTTTTACATATCAAAATCCACTTCAAACTATTATTTAAACTATAAAGCTGAGAACAAACTATCGGACGCGTTCGTCAGCCGCGGCTTATTTGAATCTAGCCAGTACATTTAATACTACACTGTGCAAACTATCGGTCGTAAGTTGCGGACGTGCCCTTGGGTCGTCCTTGAGCGTTCAGACGTCCGAACAGGATCTAGCCGGCTGGATATTTGTGCGTCCGCGGACGATGTGCACAGGGCACGGGACGCGTCCACGGACGTATCGAGTGTCACAAACGAACCGTCCGCGCTCGCGACATGTCAGACGAAGAAAATTTAATTGAATGTGTTCGTGGCCACGAGTGCCTATATAACTACAAACTGCAGCACTATAAAAATGCTACTTTAAAACAGGAAGTGTGGGAGCAAATTGCTGCTGAATTAAACATCATTTTCAATCAGACTAAGCAGAAAATTAAATTGGTTTTCATTCATTCTTAAGTACATTTTGTAACGTTTATAATATTTTTGTAAGTCTGGATACAATGTATGAAATTCACCATACTCAAGTCGTTTTACATTAACATCATGGACCCAAACACACCTTTTCACTTTTTTTGGAAGGCAACATAAGGCAGCTGCCGCTAACTCTATAAATTCGTCCTCGCTGTCGCTGCTTGTCATGTTTCTCGATTGAAACACCTTTATAGAATGACTGAAGTGAGGCGCCCGAGGACGCCATCTCGACTACCGTGCACACCGCGTCTGTCAGCCGTGGCTGACGGACAGCGGACACGTCCCATAGTTTGTTCTCAGCTTAATACAGGAGCAGCAAACCGCCGCCGGTCAAGTTCCCGCCTAAACTCCTTCCTCCTGATTGCTACATATTTATCACAGACTAACTAGCGTCAGATATATCAAAACGAATCTAAAATCAGATTTCCAAGACGCCCATTACACGGTAGATTTTGCTGTCACTTTTGCAACAATCACGGTTGTGATTGACGGATAACCTACCGTTTAATGCGGTGGTTGACGGTTGCATGAAATTGATTGAGAAATATCTGGATATTTTGATTTTTACGTCAATCAACTATCCGTCGCGAATTTTCATTGAACGTGTAATGGCATTTCGTCAATCACGCGTCAGTCAACGCTACCCCATATAGTATATTATCTATGGTCAACGCTCAGACAGCAATGGAGGCGGGCGCAGAATATATTAAAGAGGCGGCTTCCTGTATAGGACAGTTACTATACTCCTTGGAGGCGGCTTCCACGCGCTCGCGCAGCCCGTCGCCACTCCACTTTGCGTACGTGCCGGTCAGTCGTATTAGTGAATTATAGGATATGTTGTAATTACAAGTATGTTTATTGGCTGTTTGTTAAGCAGAGTTTAAAGTAAAAAAAAAAAATAAGTTAACTAAGTGAATTTTGTGTGAGTATATATATAAGTGAGTAAGTTTAATTAATTAATATTTATATAACATTTAAATATTTTTGATTTTGACTATCAAGGTTTTTTTTAGACTTTTAAATTGATTACATGAGAACTGTTTTGATTTTCCAAATATCACAAATATCCAGTGAGATATGTACTCATTTTGACAAAAAAGAAAATGCTTCTGGAGTTGCAATGTGTAAATATTGTAGTCAAAATATATCATATAAATCTACAACGGGTAATCTAGAAGCTCATTTAAAACGATCTCACGCTTCAATTTATTTGACGCAAAAGATAAGTACCGATTTAAGAAATAAAAAAAAACATATTAAGAAAACAATGTAAATATGCCGATTTTAAAATGCGCCGTATAAGTTTTAATTTCATACAAAACTTTTCTGCTAGTCCTAAGCCTAGATTGAAGCATTAAGCATAATCGCGCAAATCAGTTTCTGTATACATTTGAGTTTGTCGTTTCGTTAATTTATGAAACTAAATCTAAATACGCAAACGAATTGGCGTGGTTAAGCGTTACCGAAATCGGATTTTGAAATCTGAAATCTGATAAATATCCGTTTGCGTTCAAATCCAAAAACGCCCATGAATAACTAGCAGATTCTACCCGAATCAGACACCCCGCCCCCTTCCCCACCCCAGCCTATGAATTTGGAGTATATACATAAATAAAATACTGGCAGACGTATTTTAAATAGCACACAGCTCAAAAATTTACTAAAACCAAATTTGTTAAATGTTGATTAGGTGATTTTATTCAACAAATTTGGTTTTATCAACTTTTTGCGTTTATCATTGCATTTAATGTATTTTTGACGATGGTGCAATTAATTTTAAGCAAGGTGCAGTTTTTTATACTGTATAAAGTATTCAATTCTACTTATTTGAAGTAATATCGTTGTTATAAGGTGAACAATCCTTAACTATTTTTTATTTCTAAACTACATGGGTGCAGTTTAAATAATTAATATTTTTGAGATGTGCTATTTAAAATACGTCTGCCAATATTTTTTGTATGTATATACTCCAAATTAATAGGCTGGGGTGGGGAATCAGACGGACATCTCACGAATAGCTTGCTACATATATATTTATCTATGCTCACGAACTAAACTTACTCGACTTATCTTCTGTATCCTGATTGGTTGTATATAGCAAAATTATATGACATTTCTTTTTTTTTATTTGAAGCATCTATACCAGGCAAAGGACATCCCAAATAATAGCCACTTTAGTTTTTGAGCGAGAAAAGAACTAACCCTCTATTAAGAATTAATGGATAAGTATCAGTATAAGATTCACCAGTTTCACCACTTTCGTTACTCAATTCCCTTTCATGTCCTTTAAACAGGCTCTTTAATTTAATAATTGTGCACTAACATCATCCCCATAATTACAAGATGAGTGGTGAAATTTAATGAAACCCGTAATTAATAAAGATTTAAAAGCATTTATGAAATTGTGGCAAGTTGGATTATTGTCCGTAAAATTATATGATCTTATTTGACCGAAAAAAAAATAATGGATTGCTTCAGAATGTATGTAGCAGGGTCTCATAACTTTTATATTTTTCTTGGACAAAAACTGCCATAAATTGGGCACTGTACATACATGACCATTTTTATTAATAAATTTAAAATTTTCTAGTTTTAACAAAGCTTGCTGCCTGAATGCATGGTGTCTACATTTTTCTGTACCAGCAATTCTTAATTCTTTCTCTATTCTTTTTTATTTATCACCGCACTTCCATTCACACTGTCAAATAGGTCATCCATAAAAGATACTATTTCTGCAATATTTTTCAGTATGTTGCTCACTGGCCGCCTATCTGAATAATGAGCAGTTAAATATTTGAAATATTGTTACGAGCTTGGGGTTCGAGACAATTAAAAACCACCGATTGAATTACCAAAATTGACACTTTAATTACACAACACTAATTACAATCTAAAACCATACTAATAATAAAACACAATCACTTTAGTTCGCAGTTATTTCGCTTCGAAGTATTCTCTTGTATCGCCAATTCAATACTGCCTCGGTCGTGGTCCATACCGGCCTTATATAGAGCCTCAGATAGTTTCCAGAACCTTCTACTGTAGCGACATCTAGAATGTTCGAGTACATATCGGTTCCGAAATTTCTAGAAGGATATTGATTCTCCTAGTTCTGCTATTCGACACTAGAGGGCGCTAGTGGTAACTAGTGTTGCCATGTACAAGACATTAATAGTGGCGCGCAACATTGCCCCCTCCTAAGACATGCTCGTCCCGAGCATTATTGGCCCCATAATAACGCGCCAGTCGATCCACATGGACGATTTTAGGAGTACCTCTTCTAACATTAGTCAGCACTCGCCAGTTTCCCTGCTGCTGCTGGGCGTTGCTGTTAGCCACACTACCCTCTCGACATCGATCACCTTCCCGTTCTACAGTTCGTTTAGGGCAGCTGGATCGAAGATGGCCCCTTTTCCCACAGCCGTAGCACCTAGGGCTGTATCCTTTATTGCGGTCCCGAACTGTAGCTGCTGCAACCTCTCTGACGCGATGGGAACAATGATCCTGCCGCACGGCTTCCACCTCCAGTGCATGGGTCAAGGCGTCCTTAAGCGTCTCGTGGTGCCCGAGCCTTACAGCAGCTCTGACTTCTAGGTCGCGGATGCCGTCGATGAATGTCTGCACCAGGTTCCATACAATGAGCTCAGGTACAGACTGGTATGCTTTTCGAACCAGCTTCTCCACCTCAAGGGCCCACTGCTGAAGGTTTTCGTTACTGCGTTGCACGCGATCTTTGAGCTGCGTACGAAAGACGTGTTCCAGGTGAGCGGCGCCGTATCTCGCCTCCAATGCCTCAAGAAGCTGCTTGTAAGTCACTTCCTTACCGAGAGCTTCCAGAACAGTTTAGGCCTGGTCGCGCAGGCCTAGGGTGAGAGCAGTCATGGCCTGACTTTTATTCCAGCCGTTCGCCTTCATGACAGCCTCGAATTGGATTTTGTAGGCCGACCAGGAAGAAATTCCATCGAACGGCGGCACTTTGAATCCACGTAGCGAAGGTTTTGTAGTTACCACGGGAGCTGTAACTCCATCCCCAAGTTTGAAGTCGTCCAGCGTTTTCTTCACATCAGCCATCACGTTTTCAACCCGATGGTACACTTGGTCGATTCGGGTTTCAGCTTCCGACAGGCGGTTGTCATATTGAGCAACCTTATCCTTCACCTCCTTTATCTCTTTCTCGAAGGTAGCGTAAAGGTCCTTCATGAGAAGCATCTGCTCTTCCTTATAGCGTTTGAGCTGCTCTTCCAACCAACGGCCCTGTTCTTTGCTATTGGCGGGCCTGTTCCTCCAGTCCACGCTGCAGCTGCTCTTCCAACCGACCGGCCTGTTCCTTTTGTTGACGGGCCTGTTCCTCCTTTCGGCAGGCCTGTTCCTCCTGTCGGCGGACCTGTTCCTCCTGTCGGCGAGCCTGTTCCTGTAGCATCATCATCAGAGCACCTAAGTCAGGTGCTGTAAATGCAGGAGCTGCTGACGGGCCGGCCTCCGTGGTCGGCAGCTGGCCCACCGACGTCTGTGACGTTGCACTACCAAATCGTCTCTGGTCTGTCCCCTGTTAGCGTTGACTTCGGGTACGGATACACTCCGTGTCGTCTTTAGGTAAAATCGGCATATTTGATCCCAGTTCTGACACCAATTGTTACGAGCTTGGGGTTCGAGACAATTAAAACTGCCGATTGAATTACCAAAATTGACACTTTAATTACACAACACTAATTACAATCTAAAACCATACTAATAATAAAACACAATCACTTTAGTTCGCAGTTATTTCGCTTCGAAGTATTCTCTTGTATCGCCAATTCAATACTGCCTTTTATTTATTACAATCGTTTTTACGCCTCGTCAATTACTACAGGTGTTTTGTTCCAAAGGCATCATCTATCTTATCCCCCCTCTACCAATTATTAAAAAAGGGAATAAAATGGAAATGGTCTAAAGTAGAAAACGAAGCGTTCGACAATATAAGAGAAATATTATCCTCGGAACAGGTTTTAACACATTTTAATCCAAATGAAACAATTATACTAACCGTGGATGCGTCACCTAACGGGTTAGGTGCTATATTATCGCAAAAAAAATAGTGCAGGTATTGAAAAGCCACTCTCGTTTGCATCACGGACGTTAAATAATGCCGAGAAAAGGTATTCTCAAATACAAAAACAAGCTACTGCTATCGTATTTGGAGTACGGAGGTTCCACCAATATTTATATGGTAGGTCTACGCCTTTTATTCTACGTACGGATCACAAACCGTTATTATCAATTTTTGGGCCATACAAAGGAATTCCGGAGGTATCGGCCAACCGTTTGCAAAGATATGCTTTATTTCTAAGCGGATATAATTACACGATAGAAATAATATTTTATTTTCATGTTGCAATCGTTTAGATGCAAATTTAACCTTGGTGACAATTGCGTACGTGCCGGTCAGTCGTATTAGTAAATTATAGGATATGTTGTAATTACAAGTATGTTTATTGGCTGTTTCTTAAGCAGAGTTTAAAGTAAAAAAAAAAAAAAAAAAAAAAAAGTTAACTAAGTGAATTTTGTGTGAGTATATATACAGGATGTCCCAGTAATGGTGGATAATCTGGTACGTACGTGTTCAGGCGGAGGGGAGGTGGCCTCGGTTCCCTAAAAAAAAATTCTATCCCGAACGGTTCGCGGTCTACGCCATATTTAATAAAATTCCGAAAATTCGTACTTCTGCTCACATTTGTGGTCATCACGTCCGCAGTTTTTTTTTTATAGGATAAGGGTGACAAACTAGCACACAGTCCACCTGATGGTAAGTGGTTGCTGCAGCCCATAGACATCTACATCTATCCTCTATTAGAAATCAAAATGTAGATGCGTTGTCACCCGTGAGGACTAAGATGGAATGCCTCATTTCCAGTAAAAAGGGCCTCCGGCCACCTGCACTCACCAAGCGAAACGCAGAGGTAAACCTCTACTTCACGCTGGTTTTCTGTGAGGTCGTGGTACCAGCCCGGTTCGAGCCGGCCCATCCGTGCGACAGCAAAAGCTGCCGCATGGCTCTACCACTGTATAAAGTTTAATGCCTAGATCGGATTTTTTTTCTTTTAATGTGTTCCCTAATAATGATGTTTCTAAATTACCCTTAAAAGTTTTCAACTACTATGGGTAGTATTTTGCAAGACGGCACTAAACATAAGTTTAATTTTTTTACTTTATTTAGAATTGCCGGGTAAACTAAATGGGGCCAATTATTTAGAATTTCTGCAAAATAAGCTGCCCCATTTATTAGAAGATGAGCCACTAGCCATCCGGCGAAGAATGTGGCTCCAAAATGATGGTTGTCCGGCACATTACACCGTCCAATTAAGGAGTTACTTAAACGAAGCCAACCGTGACCGGTGGATCGGCCGAATGGGACCGATATTGTGGCCACCAAGATCACCTGATATTAACCCAATAGATTTTTTGTTGTCTCGCTCACACAGCTTAGAATTCTTCCAAACAAGGCGAGCAGATAGTAAAGTAAAATTTTCAAGGGCGACAAATGTACTTACCTAATAAAGTTTAATAGTAATAATAGATACTTTTGGTCGGTTTTTCTTTTGTGAGTAATTTTCTATTCATCCTCTTGCTAATTTTAACCTGAAGTTTCTATGGGAATGAGTAGTGACTACTTGAGTCTTGTTATATGTTATATAGGCATTGATAATAGCAGAATTAGAAAAAATTAAATAAGAAAATGAAAAGCCGCATACAATACTTTCTTGATTTTTAATCAATTGGAAAAGATATACAAGGTAGAGCCATGCTGCAGCTATATTAGTAGTATAGTTGTAGCACGAATGGGTCGGCTCGACCGGGGAAGAACCACGCTCTCACAGAAAACCAGCGTATAATAGCAGCTTAACGCTGCTGTGTTTCGTACGGTGAGTGTAGAGAACCGGAGACCCTTTTTACTGGCAAAGAGGCATTCCATCTTAGTCCACACGGGTGACAACACATCTGCATCTTGAGTCTTTATTGAGGATAGATGTAGATGTCTATGGGTCACAGTAACTACTTACCATCAGATGGACTGTGTGCTCGTTTGTCACCCTATCCTATAAAAAAAAAAACCTAAAAACAGTTTACCCCCCGTTTTCAGTTTTTAAGAAAGAAAATGAAATCTGCAACCCTTTTTTACCTAGAATTTAGTTTTATTTTCATAAATCATACTATTCCCGTTTGTTTAAGGGTTAAAGTTCTACTTCCAACAACATGACTCTTCTCAATTAACACCTTTCCAACATTACATTAGACAAAAAATGAAGGTCTGGTCTGTTTACACTGACCTCCCATTTGGTACATATTTTGAGGTTACTTGGTTGTTTCTTCTTTGATTTCTGAATTAGCTTCTTCAGAATAAATGCAGTTTCAATTAGCACATAAGGCATGGAAAGGTTTTTCTACTCGTTCTATAGTTACATAAGAAATTCATAACAAATGGGTTTTTTTATCCTGGACACATATATTTATATAGAACACGTTAAATAATATTATACATGTTGTACCAGACATCTCATGAAATACATTTTACTCATTGTGTATTTTTAAATGATTTTGCACTCGATATTTTGTTTTTCATCTAAATTCATAGATATGACACAAAAAAGTTTATCTGGTGTGTATTTTTTTCATATGCTTTTGCAAATTACATTTTGTAATACATTTATAATCACAATTATTACACGAAAAAGGTTTTTCTCCAGTGTGTATTTTTATATGTGATTGCAAACGATTTCTTTTAATACATTTATATTCACAGATATGACACGATAAAGGTTTTTCTCCGGTGTGTGTTTTTATATGCATTTGCATATCACTTTTTGTAATACATCTATAGTCACAGATATGACACGAATGAGGTTTTTCTCCGGTATGTATTTTCATATGCCTTTGCAATTCATATTTTGTAATACATTTATAATCACAATTATTACACGAAAAAGGTTTTTCTCCAGTGTGTTTTTTTATATGTGATTGCAAACGATTTTTTTTAATACATTTATATTCACAGATATGACATGATAAAGGTTTTTCTCCGGTGTGTGTTTTTATGTGCATTTGCAAATCACTTTTTCTAATAGATCTATATTCACAGATATAACACAAATGAGGTTTTTCTCTGGTATGTATTTTCATATGCCTCTGAAAGTTTCTTTTATCTGTAAATATATAATCACAATTATTACAACAGTACACTTGTTTAGCAACATGCTTTTGTTTCAAATTTTTCTTTTTCATAATATTTGCAGGATGCTTTCCTTTTTTATTAATTGGTTGATTATCTCTTTTCACATTAGAGTTTGATGTAGGGCCTTCAAAATTGAGGTTTTCTTTACGTACTACGTTTATGTCACTATCAGTGGAATTTGATTTAATCTTCGTCTCAGACGATTCTGAAAAATTATTTGTCGGTGTGAATTACTGTTCTGAAATACGCATTAAGCACTGGTATTGCATCCCTAACTAACTTGCGCAGTCCACTCCACCTTTTTCTTTTCAAAAATGTACGAAGCACTAAAATGGGTAAAAAAAAAAAAAGAAATTCTTGAAGTTAGGCTCTCAGTTTTAGGATAACAACAGCCAACAAACAAATTTTACAAATAATTTTAGAAAATACAGTCAACAACAGTTATTCACTAACTATATTTCATAAGGATATGTGTTATTAAAACATTTACACCAAACTATAATTGCATTAGAGCTCTCTTACAAAATATAAATTAAAAATATTTTGGGGTGTTCAAATAGTTTTCTCATCTGGTTGGGCTGTATAAATAGATAAATGAAAATGATAAATTTAAATAAAATTTAATATAACAAAAATTAATGTCATACTTTTTAAAAAATTAAGTTTTATTTACAATCTCGGTGTCTTCAAGGCAAGAGTGAATAGGCTTTTGTTACGCTAAGACAGTGTGATTTACCGTCTAAGGCTGCATCACCACTTACCACCAGGTGGGATTGTGGTCAAGCACTGGCTTATAATAAGTAAAAAAAAGGCATTTTCCTGATAACAGCAAAAAAAAAAACAATAAAAAACTGCGGTTACCAACCCAATAGCCAAGCATGGCAACTATGGCAGTATACTCCCCATGAGCAACTACACAAATAAATGGCCCCCAGTTCCCGGCTGCCCCGCTAGTCCTGGCTACGGTGGCGACCATTGTTACAGCGGGGCAGGGGGTGCTAAGAATCTCCGGTGGGGGTTCGGTTACCATCCAAGTCGACTCAACCTGACAAATTATAACGCACGCACGTAATCCTCGAATCCGGCAACTAGTTCTATCACTATTAGGGCGACCATCTGTCCCAAGGAGGTGTTGGATTTATAGTCCACAAGTCACTCGTTGACAACTTTGTACAAATTTGGAGTGTGTCGACGAGGGTTGCATACCTTATACTAAGAATCACCAAACGGTATTTGCGGAAGGATCAACCTCGGTACATCCCGATGAGGGGGTGGAGGAAATGTATGATGATATCTCTAGAGCCATGCATTCTTCCAAAAGTCACTATACGGTGTAAATGGGAGACTTCAATGCAAAACTAGGCAAAAGAGAGAAGCCTAAGCTAAGCCAAAGCCCCAAAAACTTTCAACTCGAGTTACAAAATCGTGTTCAATGCCTAGAAGACTGCAATGAAGTGGACGATATGAATGAAAAGCTGGTGGAAACTGTCCATGCAGTCAGAGCTAATTTCTGCAAGACCCATCGCAGAAATGCACAAAAACTCTCTGATGTCATAGCTGTTAGACAGAAAATGAAGCTGCAGTCTTCAGCAGATTTAACAATATACATGCAACTGAAGAGACAGATCTAAAAATGCATGCAGCACGACTTACGCAACTTTAATACAGCTCATATTAAGGAAGCGATCGAGCGGAATCAGAGCTCCAGTTTTTGCCAGAGATCTGTCTGCCAGAAAGAGCCAACTGTCGAAGCTGAAGACCGAATGTGGCAGCAACGTTTCTATGGGCAGCTGTACACGTCATCGTTGGAGCCACACGCAAGTGTGAGTAACGATCCAAGAGCAAGTCTTATCAGACACTATTCCGATGATATCCTGGACTTCAGTCTGAGCGAGATTATAATAGCTCTCCAGCACCTTAAAACTGGCAAGTCCCCGGGTGAGGATGGAATTACAGTGGAGCTTCTAAAAGCGGGTGGTATTTTAACGGTGGTAGAGCCACGCAGCAGTTTTTGCTGTTGCATGTATGGGCCGGCTCGAGCCGGGTTGGTACCACGACCTCACAGAATACCGGCGTGAAGTAGAAGCTTTGCTTCTGCGTTTCGTCTGGTGAGTGCAGGTGGCCGGAGGCCCAATTCCCCCCCCCCCCCCATCAACATGGTAGCGGAATTACACGAAGAACTACCCCAGGAGGGTACCAGCACCCCTGGAGAATCCCTCGCTGAGCATCCACGACCACGTTATGCCGATCCTGAGCGTGGGTGCTCAGGCTCAGGCCCCGCGTATTCTGGGGGGGGGGGGGGGGGCAAAATTCCGCTCAAAAGCATTACTGCTAGGGGCAAACTGAGCAAGAACACCAAGGCGACCCCTGCCACGCTATCCGTGAATTTCTGCAACATCAGGGGACTTCACTCTAACCTAAACGCCGTCCACTACCATCTCGAGACGGCGAAGCCGGCCTTGCTCTTTCTGACCGAGACGCAGGTTTCCTCTCCGGCTGATATTTCGTATCTCTCCTACCCGGGGTACAAATTGGAGCACTCCTTTGTGCCTCGGGCTGGAGTTTGCGTGTATGTCAGAGAGGACATCTGTTCTCGACGCCTCGGCAGTCTTGAAGGTTCGGACCTGTCCATCCTTTGGCTACGCGTAGACAGCGACGATCCGCGCGTCTACGAGTGCCTTTATAGGTCCCATAGCGGTAATGCCGAAACAGACCGACTCATCGACCACGTCCAAATGGCTACAGATTTCTTGCTACAACAGGTCCCATCCGCAGAGATCGTGATCCTTGGCGATTTTAACGCCCACCATGCCGAATGGCTCGGCTCACGTCTAACCGATCATGCGGGGAGATCTGTTTATGACTTTGCCTTGGCATATGGTCTGACACAACTGGTTACTTCGCCTACGCGGATTCCAGATGTGGAGGATCATACACCTTCCCTGTTGGACCTTCTGCTGACCTCTCATCCGGGCGGATATCTGGTTTCCGTCGATGCCCCTCTCGGCTCTTCGGACCATTGTCTTATCCGGAGTGTGGTGCCACTCACGCTCCCTTCGCGGTTGCGTTCTGCAGGTTGCCGCCGTGTTTGGCATTACAGGTCGGCGGATTGGGACGGAATGCGGTCCTTCTTTGCATCCTACCCATGGGGGCGGGTTTGCTTCTCGCCGGATGATCCCAGCGCTGTTGCTGACTCTGTCACTGATGTGGTGCTACAGGGAATGGAACTATTTATTCCATCATCTGTGGTACCCATCGGAGGCAGATCTCAGCCTTGGTTTGGTCGCTCCTGTAAGACTGCATTACGCAGTAAGCAGGAGTGTTATCAAGCCTGGGCTGCGGCTTCGGCGACTCGGGATGTAAATACCAGCACACTTAAAAAGAAGTATAACTTCGCCTCCAGGTCCTTCAAAAGAGTTATTGCCAAGGCAAAGTCAGAGCACATAGGCAGAATTGGCGAGAAACTAGTTCGCCTTCCTTCGGGAACCCGTGCATTCTGGTCTCTCGCCAAGGCTGTCCAAGGGAATTTCTGTAAGCCATCACTACCATCTCTGCACAGGGAGGATGACTCACTGGCCCATGACGCAAAAGACAAAGCCGACCTTTTAGGCTCCCTTTTTGCGTCCAACTCGACTCTTGATGACGGGGGGAAAACACCGCCGACCATCCCGCGGTGTGAGTGCTCCATGCCGGATGTGCTGTTCTCACAGCGCTCGGTTCGCAAAGCACTGCTCTCCCTGGACATCCAGAAGTCGAGTGGGCCTGACGGAATCCCCCCAATTGTGCTGAGGACGTGTGCTCCGGAGTTGGCACCGGTCCTAACGCGTCTTTTCCGGTACTCCTACTCCCAAGGCGTAGTCCCGAATTCATGGAAGACAGCTTTTGTCCACTCGATCCCTAAAAAAGGCGACCGCTCAGACCCATCCAACTATAGGCCTATCGCGATCACCTCCTTGTTCTCCAAAATAATGGAATCCATTATTAACTGCCAGCTCATCCGGTACCTTGAGGATCACCAGCTGTTTAGTGACCGCCAATACGGTTTTCGTCGGGGTCGATCAGCTGGTGATCTTCTGGTCTACCTGACCCATAGATGGGCGGAGGCAGTAGAGTCCAAGGGGGAGGCGTTGGCCGTTAGTCTGGACATTGCGAAGGCCTTCGATCGGGTTTGGCACAAAGCGCTTCTTTCGAAGCTCCCTTCCTATGGGCTTCCCGAGAAATTGTGCAATTGGATCACCAGCTTCCTTGTAGATCGGAGCATCAAGGTCGTTGTAGACGGTGCATGCTCTGACTACAAGCCTATTAACGCTGGTGTTCCACAAGGCTGTGTGCTATCACCAACGCTGTTTCTTCTGCATATCAATGATATGTTGCTAACTGGTAACATTCATTGCTATGCGGATGACAGCACTGGTGATGCTCTATACACCGGCCGTGCCAATATTTCTCGGGAAAACGTCGCTGAGTACCGGAACAAACTTGTGTCTGAAGTCGAGTCTTTGCTGAACAAAGTCTCGGATTGGGGGCGACTAAATCTAGTCCAATTTAAACCTCAAAAGACACAAGTTTGCGCGTTTACCGCTAAAAAGAACCCCTTTGTCGTATCTCCTCAGTTTCAAGGCACTCCCCTTCTTGCCTCAGCCAGTATCGGTATCCTCGGAGTCGACATATCGAGTGACGTGCAGTTTCGTGGTCACTTGGAAGGGAAGGCCAAATTGGCCTCTAAAAAGCTTGGCGTGCTCAGCAGAGCGGGACAGTATTTCATGCCGGCACACCGCCTGCTACTTTACAAGGCGCAAGTTCGGCCTCACATGGAATACTGTTCCCATCTCTGGGCAGGGGCTCCCCAGTGCCAGCTCCTTCCACTTGA